CCGCGTCGCGCACGCCGCGAAGCTCGAGGCCGCCAAGGCCGAGGACGCGGCCGCCGCGCTCCGCTTCGAGCTCGGCCGCGCGACGGAGCGGCTCCTGGCCTACGAGGCCGAGGAGGAGGAGCGCCACGCCGCCGCCGAGCTCGCGGACTTCGAGCGGAGCCTCGCCTGCTCCGACGCGAGCCCCGAGGTCACGGCGCGGCCGTCGCGGCCCCGGTGCGGCTCCGACGGCCGCGACGGCGCGGACCGGCTCCTCCGCGACCGCGACGCGGCCCACGGCGCGGCCCTCGCGCGGCTCCGCGACCTCCTCGAGAAGGAGCGGGACCTCGAGGTCGCCGAGGCGCTCCGCCGCGGCGCCGCCGACGGCGACCGGCGCGTCGCGGCCAAAGACGCGGAGCTCCGCGAAGCCTTCGACGCCGAGGCCGCCGCGCGGCGCCGCGACGCGGACCTCGCCCTCGCGACGCTCCGGCGCGACGCGGCCCTCGCCCTCGACGACGCCGGCGCCGCCGCCGAGGCCGCGCGCGCGGACGCCGTCGCGTCGGAGCGCCGCGCGGGAGACGACGCTGTCGCCGCGCGCGACGCGGCCCACGCCGCGGCGCTCGACGCGGAGCGCGAGGCCGCCGCCGCCGCTCGAGCCGAGGCGCTGGAAGCGCAGAGCGCGTCGCACAAGGAAGCCTTGCAAACGGAACGCGAGGCGGCCGCGGCGGCGCGCGCCGAGGCCCTCGAGCAGCAGAGCGCGTCGCACGAGGAAGCTATGGAAGCCCGGAGCGCGTCGCACGAGGAAGCCTTGCAAACGGAACGCGAGGCGGCCGCGGCGGCGCGCGCCGAGGCCCTCGAGCAGCAGAGCGCGTCGCACGAGGAAGCTATGGAGGCGCGGAGCGCGTCGCACGCGGAAGCCTTGCAAACGGAACGCGAGGCGGCCGCGGCGGCGCGCGCCGAGGCCCTCGAGGCGCAGAGCGCGTCGCACGAGGAAGCTATGGAAGCGCGGAGCGCGTCGCACGCGGAAGCCTTGCAAACGGAACGCGAGACGGCGGCGGCGGCGCGCGCCGAGGCCCTCGAGAAGCAGAGCGCGTCGCACGAGGAAGCTATGGAAGCGCGGAGCGCGTCGCACGCGGAAGCCTTTCAAACGGAACGCGAGACGGCGGCGGCGGCACACACCGAGGCCCTTGAGGCGCAGAAAGTATCGCACGAGCAAGCTATGGAAGCGCAGAAAGCATCGCACGCGGAAGCCCTGGAAGCGCAGAGCGCATCGCACGCTGGAGCGTTGGAAACGGAACGCGAAGCGGCCGCGGCGGCGCACACCGAGGCCCTCGAGGCTCAGAGTGCATCGCATGCGGAAGCTATGGAAGCGCAGAGAGCTGCGCATGCGGAAGCATTCGAAGCGCAGAGCGCATCGCATGCGGACGCCTTGCAAACGGAACGCGAGACGGCCGCGGCCGCACACACCGAGGCCCTCGAGGCTCAGAGTGCATCGCACGCGGAAGCTATGGAAGCGCAGAAAACATCACACGCGGAAGCCCTGGAAGCGCAGAACGCGTCGCACGCTGGAGCGTTGGAAACGGAACGCGAAGCGGCCGCGACGGCGCGCACCGAGGCCTTCGAGGCTCAGAGTGCATCGCACGCGGAAGCTCTGGAAGCGCAAAGAGTCGCGCACGCGGAAGCA